GTCGGTTCTTCTGTCACAATGTGTGATGGCGAGGAACGATGGAGAAGTAAATTAAACTGTCTTTAATCCAAGAAACACAGGGTACATCCAACACTGGGAACGGCAGGAAACACATGAAAATAAGTAGAACCGACAGAGACAGAAACAGGGGCAAAATATGACAAAGACAGTCCATGATCCTGACAGCTATAAAGATCCTGTATAATGCATGAACACAATTATTATTATAAATTATTCTTAAATCATATGCTGCTTGTACACATTGGACATCCACTATAGTCTTTCTAAAGGGAAAAAATAGATAGGTCTTTATTTTACTTTGGGAGTAAAAAACTTGTCAAGCAAGTTTGGATGCATTTCAATTATAACTGCATAGTAATATTACAAGTGAATATTAAATTAATCCCAGTCTCCTCTGGCTAGTTTTTGAAATATATCTTGATCTTCTATTTCAATAAAATGACCAAAGAATACTTAAAATAAATATAAAATAATAATAATAATTAAAACTAAATAACTAAACACTAGTCATGAGCACTCTATTTAAAATAATAACTATTTAATAATATAATATGACATTTCTGCCTGAGAAAAATAAATAATTTTACTTTTTGAGAACTTTAACAAAAAATATATATATTATAAAAATCTATGTATATATTTAAAATGTTTTGAATGTCAAGAATAAAGTTTTGGATGCATTTCAATTGAAACTACTCAGTAATATTAAATTAAATCACAGTCTCTTCTAAACATCATGCAAATAAAGCATAAAAAATTATTATTCTCAATTATTCTAACTCTAGAATACCAGTTTTATTTTAGACACCAGTTATGGACACTCTAAAGGACATCGTGCAATTTACTATTTTAAAAAAATGACATATTTAACATTTTTAAGTTAAGTTTTAGTTAAATTATTCTTTTTTTCTCAGGCAGACTATAGTGGGTGCCCAATATGGACAGGCTGCTTGACTTTTTTCTCACAAAGTTAAATTAAGTTAACTTTGTGAAATACTTAACCACTATAGTCCATATATTTAAATGGCCTGCTGAATGCTATAGATTAGCTCTGGTATCATCAGATAAAGATGATTTTGTTTACTGAGACATGAGATCACCGATTGTAGAAAAAGTGTGTATGAAGAAACAACATCCATAATCCTGCAGCTCATCTCTCTATAACACTGAGCAAGCTATTATATAGAATAGATCAAAACTAAATTAGATCTGTCTTTATGTACTGTCAATATTCACAAGGCATATTGGATGTGTAGGCAGCCTTTCGATTAACTTTGTATTACTCTTAAGACCAAACAAACTGAATAAGTTCATTTTTAATGTTACATGCCAGACTGCATCAACTTTTCTCTCTGCCCTTTACATAGTTTTGCATTTATACACTTTTCAAGGTCACAACGTTTGACCAGAGACAGTTTTCCAATGGAAAAGACGGTCAAAAGAATATGGATTTTGCAATGACACAAAGTATATGAAGAACACAGGAAATTCTGTATAGGACCCAATATGCAATTTCAATATATATTTTATATATTTGGGTACTGATGTGAAAAAACTCCACCATGAAACCATCAACACGTTCCAAGAGATCAGAAAATTAAGCGAGATAAAGCATAGCATTGGTACTGACATGAATTATTGCCACTCTTTGCATTGCAACTGAATTCTCTAATCAGTAGTTTTGCAACTTCAACACTCTAAAAAATGCTGGGTTATTTTTTTTAACCCAAATGCTCAGCCTGTTGGGTCCTTTTATTGGGTTGTTTTTAATATTTTTACCCAGGTGCGGGTGAGAGCGCTGGCTTTTTAAGTCCACAGGAGAGAGCGGTTCTCAGCGCCGGCGCCGAATTGGTGCACACTGTAAAAAATGACCGTGAATTTAACTGTAAAAGACAGTAAAAATGCTACAGTAAAAACCTGTTAAATACTATATACGGTGAAAAACTGTATTGAACATTACATGTATTGGACATTAATT